CTACTACTAGTACTAGTACTAGTAGTACTACTGCTACTACGACTACTATTACTACTACTACTGCTACTACTGCAGCTACTGCTGCTGCTGCTGCTGCTACTACTTCTACCGAATTATCATCCAACATCGATGCTTCCAATGACCTGTAAAACGATAAGGAAGAAAAAACGATAACGGTGTCGAGGGTCAATTAAAAGGTCACGGGGCTTTCTTACAACCCCATATGTGTAATCGCAATTCAGGCACCTCAAACGCTGGTGAATTCCTGAGCGGCTTCATTACATACTACTGCTGGTTTCTAGCCAGAACTCGTCTGAGCAAACAAAATCAAGGACGAAACCAGAATCACATAGTCAATCTCCATCCAGCAAAAAAAGAGAAAGACACACGGCATGTGCATAAATCAAACACCGAACACCACATACCCAATATCCAAAATGAAGTGGGACACCCCTATTATGGATTCCCACAAAAATAAGATGAAACAAACCCAAGAAACCAGACATCCCCTGTTTACCACTAGGTCTTCCAGGTAGTGCCCTTTTACCCTTTTTGGGGGAGGGTTCCCCTACTAAAATGGACTCCCGAAAAAAGGAACGGTACTAACTTATTCTAACCTCTCTACTGGAGGGCCTAGACGATGTTTTGGTAGAGCCGCTGGAAGTGGGCTTTCGCCCAGGCCAAGGTGGCCCGAGATTGGGCGCGCGACTGCGCTGATGTGCGCGCCCGGATGCCGCCCTGAGCTCCGATGTCGCTCCAAATCTGCGAGTCCGTGAAGCGCGTCCCAAGGCACCTGGTCAGAAGAAGGGCTATCCCTCGGCGGATAAGCCAATGAGAAGCCCTTAATAAGGCTAGGTCCCAGTAGGGCCCTTTTACCGTGGAGGGTCCCCCTACTAAAATAGACTACAGGAAAAAGGGTGCCCGTATTCTAACCTGTCTGCTGGAGGACCTAGAAGGCCTTGTTAAGGGTTAGTAAGTCCCCTCCCCATAGCCCTTTTTGGGGATTTGAAGCGTTTTTCGCTGCCCCACTGGGAGGGCTTCGCTGTTCTTGGCATGCAAGGTGATAATTCTTGTGTCTCTGTGTTTGTCTGGTTTGCTTGGCATCTTTGGTTCTTGCTAGGGTTTGGGAAGGCTGATCCTTGTTGAAACTGGGGAAGCTTTTGTTCCACGTGCTTTGGGCCACTTCGCTCAAGCCATTTCTCGAAGCGGAAAATGTACAACTGGGGTGTGTGGGGGGGGGGTTTTGGCAATAGGTAGATGTCGCAGAACTCTTGTCCCAGAACTTCGCCCAAAGTGAAGCTCTGACCTGAGGATTTCTCGATCCCATCTTTCCCGCTCAGAACCTCGAACAGATGACAAAGACAGCGAATCGGTGGGTCCTTTGCCGTCCTTGAGACCTGTTGCAGTTTCATCAAGCCATGGCCAGCCGAAAAATGTCAAGGTGTGAGGTACTCGTTGCAAATCTGTCAAGTAACTGCAAGATCAAGCGAGAAAAAAACACATCAAGCCTCATAAGTCATAGGCCTTCGCGCGAAAAGCCATGAGCTGATGGCACTGATTTGGGATGCCTGGGACCGTTTGGGGAGGTTGAACTCAAGGAAAATTAGACAACCCTGGTAGTGCAAGTCCCCCAAAAAGAGGAGGTCGCAACAGGTTGCCTTTCAGGTCATTTGACAAGTCGGTATATCTGTCAGACAAGTGTGATCGGTGTCCATGGTTTTGCAGCTCGGGTTGTCCGATTTTCTCGAATCCAAGTGCTGTTTGCAGCTCGGGAACCCGTTTCTTGGGGGATCTTTCACTTCGGTCTCCAAGCTATGCTGTTCGGAAAGATGTGGTGAACACGTTTGGACCAGACCGCTTCTTCGTGGCTACGTGGTTGGATCTTTGGACTTTCACCTTTTGGGAAACGTTGCGGATTCTCCATTACACCCACCTCAGTTGTTCAGTGGCACCCTTTTGCCCTTTCTTTTTGGTGGCTGTCCCACTAAAAATGGTCTTCCCCAAAGAGGGGTCCCTTTTTTTTCAGGGTCACTAAACAACTGAGCCACAAGAAGCTAAAGTCCCAAGTGTTCTTGTGCATCCGATTTTGTTCGGGTGGCTCCATTGAGACGCGCGCGCCTTCAGGTCCACGCCTGACTCGATCCCGCGAGCGAGTCCCGTCCGGAGCTCATGGCCTAGGCGGGACGGAGCTGTTCTCCTCACTCAGATTCCGCCTGCCAGGCTCCCATGTCATTTCTCCTTGGATGCTTGGACACATCACCTGAGTCCCCGAATTCCGTTCCTGGACTTCAGACTTTTTGGGAAGACCATTTCAGTGGTTAATAAGAAGTGCGGACTTTTTGTAGCCAGTCCACTCAGGATCTAACTTACAGGGGATCACACTCTGATTTCAGGTGTTGGTATTATTGTGCAAATATATGCAGAATGGCTGGGATCTCTTTTGAAATCATACCGTGGATGGACAAAACCCCACCTCAGGCACCGCTTGGTATCCCGGTATTTGTAGTTGTCCATCCCTACTGGCGCAGGACTTGGTGAGTATTGCATTTCACGGCGCACTGTTCCAGAGCCGTACATGTTCAAAGCGACCCTCTTCACAAAGTCCACAGGCAGTTGGGATGGATGCACATCTACAAGCCATCTACCAGTGCCAAAAAGTGGCCATCCACAGTATCCCTGGGATTCAAGCCATGAAAGCAATGGCGGGTTATTTTGCCACCAGTGCTTACCTCAGAGGGGTTCATCCAAAGTGGGCCCTTGCAATGCTTTAATGGGAACCGGGCGAACTGTAGAAGTATGGACGCAGCCAACAGCTGAGGTAGATGGTCCTGCACCTAAGAAGTATGCGGTCCAATCGCTTCTGAGTTGCGGCTTCAAGGGTTGCGGATCAGGTGGATTCGCCGGCAAGCTTTGGGGTAGAACCATGCTGAAGGTGCCTCCCTTAGGAATTCTTGAATTCAGCTTGGTGAGTCATTGTACGCGCTGATTTCAAGTTCCTGTCAAGTAATCCTTCAAGCTCATGGTTGTCGGGCAGGGTCCTTTTGCAAGGAGAGTAGGTAGGAGTATGTCAAACGGCTTGACTTTGGAAACACATATCCGGGGACTGGTTTCCTCCCGATTGAAAAAGCTTGGGACCCTGTCCGTCCCCTCGTAGTGTGCTTTGGGGCACACGCAATGGAGTCGCTTCTGCTGTTCAGGGCAAATGAAATCGAAAAGGCATTGCACACTTCCCCCCCACCAAAAAAAATACATATTAATTGAACTCGAGAGCCTTGGTTTGCTACCGCGATCTAAGCTGAAGTTTCCGCGTTTCGTTTTTTTTGATCACTACGACTTCAGATTGTTTTCGCAGTCATCCAAAGGTCCCTCACTTCCTGAGTTCTTGAAGTTTAAACTTTTCGGGAAGACCTTTTCGGTGGTAAATAAACAGTGTTGACTTTGTTTGGCCAATCCATGCGGGAAGTGAGGTTCCTTGGGCTTGTTCTGGGAAGCCACCGGAAGCAATCAGAACCCGTGCCCACAGGCCCATGCTGTTGCTCGAGATGCGCCACACATGAAGCTGGAAGCATGTCTTACGCCGAGGGTTCAGGCAGGGTTCCGTATCATCCGCTTTTGCTTTATCTTAGGATGTGGGCCAATTCCAAGCAATTTTGTTGGCTTTGGGTGATGTGTCCAAGAGAAGTCTTGTCAGAACCGCACCAGAGGCATTCTCCATATCACATGGCGGATGGTGCGTGAGCGTCTGAGCGCTCAGAGAGGAATTGGCGGAGGTGGAAAAGAGACAAAGACTCAAAGACGAAGCGCTGTGCGGTTGCTTCAGTTCTAGTGCTACCTTCCAATTCCATTCTTTCCAGGGATCCGAATCTTTCTAAAAAGCCTCTGGAAACCCAGGGAAACGGATCCGGTTTTTCGAAAAAGAACGGTGGTTGAAAAGGATAGAAAAGAATCAACCCTTAGAGTGATCAAATCAACCCTTCAAATCAAATCTTTGGTTTCCCTTCAAATCAACTCCCCAAAATGGGGAATCAACCCTTCGATCAGTGGCCTGTGGTTGATCACTCGGGGTTTCTCCCCCCTTCTGTGCGCATGGGCACTGCTCAACCCACTGGCTCCGCCGACATGCCTGGGCTCACAGGACGAGAAGATGCAGGGCAAGGCTTTGTTCCAAAAGGCGCTGAAGCCTACTTCCAGTTGGTTAAGAATGTATATGTAAAAAACAAAAAAACTTGGTTTTCAAGGGAATCTATCACTACTGGAAATATGTTCTCATGTTTTCAAGGGGACTTGAGCAAACGGAGGCCTATTGGCTGTTCAGGAGACACCTTTCCGGGGAAGATGGTTGTGCCTTCTTGTACCGAGGTATGCCAAATTGCTCGTAGCAGAGGGCCAGTTGCCAATTTCACTTGAGCCACAATCAAAACCGGGGTAGATGAAGGTTAGTAAGGGATGATCCCAGCCATAAATAGCTGCGGCCGCCTTCTTAATTCTTTACATGGTTCTGGGTTCACCATTCTCGCACCAGGTTTTGATTGTGACTCACTTGAGCTTCTGTTGGGATGATGTTGAGGGCATTTGGGTCGTCAGCATGACCTGTTTGGACCAGCATGAGGCCCTGAAAGGAATCGGCCCTTCCTGAAGGCAAGCGGCCGGTAGCGTTGACAGAAGTCCAGTTTTTGTGTGGAAAAAGGGGCCATGAGCGTACTGAAGGCTGAGGTTTAGTACAGCATGTCCGGTCCACGAAAGGCCCCTCTTTTTTATGCGTGGAGCCTGTTGGAACATGATGCGCAATTCCCCACGTTCAAACACGCAAACACACACAACAGCAAACACACACACACACTCACACACTCACACAAGCTAACACACACCCCACGCGCGCGCGCTTGTACACGGCACTCGCCATAAAGACACCCGAATGAACCTTTTGATTTGCGTTTGTCATTGGTTGTCATTCGCAACCCCCCCTCGCTCCCGCTCCCGGCCACACGGCGATCTGATGATGCCGCCTGGCGGCGTACGGAACGGCAAGCTGGAGGACAAGCAGGCTGGCACTGAAGGTATCAGACAAAAGCAAAAACATGCATCCCCCCAAGGTATGGCACGAACTGACAAAAACAGACAAAACAGCAACAAGAACAATCCAAGTCTGCCCACCAACTGACATGCATCCCACCTGGTCGCTTGAAAGGAACATGGTTGTTCAGCAGCCCCAAGCAGGTTACTCCTGGGTTTCCCAAAACCTGTGATTCCCAAAGGAACCAAAGAACTGCATGCGGGTGTGTCATAGTAACGTTCCTTAATAACCATTATCATTAGTCCTGTTATATAAGGGAACCATGACCATATGCCATATCCCATGGTTGTTCGGGGTCCCCCAAAGACGGGACTCCCCAAAAAACAAAAAAACCTTGGCCCCTCATAGGCCTTATTGGTTGCTATTAGCCCCGGATTGGGGAATCGGCCCCTATTGAGGGGCCCTTAACAACCATAGGACCATCACTTTGGTGCATTTTGCCAAGGGATGTTAGGACTTTAACTTTTTGCACAAACCATGGGTTTGCCGTATTAACCACTACAAGCTAGCCACTTTTAGCAGGGCAGAAAGCAGCTCATGTGCCACTTGCTTGGCTTCGAGGAGCGCCAGAGATGCAGACGCAGATCCTCGGCGCAAGGTTTGGGGGCCTTTCTAGGTCCCCCAGCAATTGGTGCCCGACCTCTCACTTTTTTGGTTGGGAGGGTTCCCCTACGAAAATGGACTACAGAAAAAAGAAACTGTACTAACTTATTCTAACCTCTCTACTGGAGGACCTGGCTTTGGTTTGAGAGACAAAATCCCCTCCCCCCGCCCCCCCCCCGATTCCACCTCGAAGGGTATGCGAGCCAGCTCACTCTTCAGTGCTTTTGCGGGGTCATTGTTCCTTGGCTCCTGATGGACTTCCCTTGGCTTCCAAGTCGAAACCCCCATTGAATCCATGTGGCCAAACATGGCCATGGGTGAAATGTCCCATTTAGTGAGAAAGTCTTGTTTTGTGGTTTTCCCAAATGGGTGTGGCTCAAAATTAAACTGGAGGAGGGCAAACCATTTTGGAATTCCGGTTTTTTGAGCCACAGCCAAATCGAACACTTGGACTGTTCTGGCAATAGGTCTCTGGTCCGAAAGGGAAGTGCGACACAGAGCCCTTGGGGGTCCATGTTCATTTGCAGCCCGTGGGGATCAACTCGACGGGTTGTGGCAACCGATGTGCGCTTCAAAGGTTCCTTGTGGATTCCTGATCGGCGTCTGAACTGTTAAAGGCACCTTTGGTCATGTGGAAGAATCGGACAACGATCGGATCATAAGGGCAGCATGTTTTGAAAGCCAGAGGTTGTGAAGCATTGACCTGGAATTGCCAGTTGGGTCGCTAGGGGGTGTAACCTGTGCCTTCTCATAGACTTGGGATGTATGACACCATGAATTGAATGGTGCAGGATTTTGTCCATTCACCGTATCAGGAGATGCTTCATTGCTCAATCAGTTGAATCAGTTGATGGTGTGGGCTCCTGTAATATTTCTGAACCTTTCTGATCATGACTCAAAACAGAATCCGACTTTTGTTGACTCTTTGTTAACAACTTTGAGACAGCCATTGCAATGTTCCTTCAGAACCAATGACTATTTGTACAAATGAGAAGGAGCGGAGTTAAAACTGATTTATTGTTTTCCCTTGGGACCCTCTTAAGTTGTTCAGTTTATTCCGATTTCCCCATATGGTCAACCTCAAAAGGCTGGAGTGCCTCACTGGGGTCGCAGGAAATTTGCCCACGATGACCAAGTGTGGCAACCCAACCATCCCCTAGGTCCCCTACCCTTTTTTTGGGGGAAGGTTCCCCTACTAAAATAGACTACAGAAAAAAGAAACGGTACCCTTATTCAAACCTCTCTACTGGAGGACAATGACCAAGTGCGGCAACCCAAGCATCACTTTATCAGCGACCAGACGAACGCGAGCCTCACCTGGCAAGCCTTTTTGGACTCAGTTGTTCAGTGGCACGAATTAGTTTTCCCCTTTTTTTGGTGGCCCCACTAAACCGGTCCAAGCCCCAAGAAGGGTTCCCCTTTTTTTCCCAGGGGCTCCTTAAAAGATCTCCATTTTGCAACCATTTGAAGCATGTTGCTTTTTCAACACCAAAACAAAAGGAACCCACCATTTACAAGGCAATGTTCAGGTGTATAATGATCCCTGACTGAGTGGCCGTTCCCAGGACTTCCCTCATCTCGCGCGCGAGCTGCCACCGCTGCATGTGGATCTCCAGCGTGGCCCTCGCCGTGCTGCTGTTCTTCAGCCGAGCGACGGACGGAAGACCGGGGCCAGGTCGACCGGCTATTCTTTGGTGCATGTTGCCAAGGGATGTTCGGACTTTAACTTTTTGCCAACTAATGGGTTTTCCGTATTAAACCACTACAAGTTAGCCACTTTTAGCAGGGGGGCAGAAAGCAATCGAGTATTTTAAAGAGAGCTTGGGGGGCGCAATTTGTTGATGCGGATTAAGAACCCCTGCTTATAAATATGGGGGTGTCGGATTCTGGTTTTAGTGGGGATTCAGACCACTTTTGGAGGAGCCCCCACCCCCATATTCATAAACCGTTTGGTTTATTAATCCGGGGTCAACATTCGGAGACGCTAACGGAAGCCGGGTTCAAAGACGGATTCGGAAGCCGTACCTTGTCAGCCTTGTGAGCTTCCCAGCTTGCAGCGAGGCTTTTTCATCATTGGCTTGGTACCCTAGAAGTGCCCTGTTACCAACTTTGTTGGGGGAGGGTTCCCCTACTCAAATAGACTACAGAAAAAAGGGTACCCTGATTCTAACCTCTCTACTGGAGGACCTAGTTGGAATGCCCAAACATGTCAAAAACTGTTTCTGACCAGAACTCTGGTGAGAACCAGACAAGAGTCGGCCCAAGCAAAGACACATGCTGTCGCCTTCTTCTTCTTTTTCCGGGGCCTTGGGTCGGTTCGCTTTCAGCTTTGGTTTTCCGGGAGGGTTCAAAAGGAGATGCGGTCCAGTTTCCGGTTGGGGAAACCCCCCGTCCCAACGGGTGAAGTTGATTGAGCTTCAGGCGAGATTGCCGAGAGCTGGGGACTGGCGGTGTCAGAGACCAACCGCTCAGGCGGGGAGCAGAGGCGTTCCTGCCGGAAGTCATAGCCCGAAAAAAGGACGTCGCTTTTGGCTGGACTTGCCGGGGGGGAACGGTTCAGCTTCAATTCACAAATGTGAATCAGAATTCCTTAGACTTGTAGCGCGGATCAGTTGAGCTTCAAAGCACACAGAGGAATGGAATGGCCGCAGGTTGTCGGCGAGAACTGGTACAGCACCGAAGGTCCAACCAAAACGACGGGTTGTCCCACCAGAAGATATTATGGTTGTCCCCTTTTCGGGGCATCGGCAATTTCTCAGTTTTATGGGGCCAATTTGAAGAGTTTTCCCTGATGCCACGTGCTAGGTGGGGTCCCTTCAACCACCCTATTTCTGGTTTGTGGAGCGCTTAACCATTTATGTGTTGGTATCTTCCCTGGTGAGGGGGATTTTTCGAATCGATCTCCGGCGGCCTTTTTGGTTTCATTTGGCATGCCTCAACCCCGCAGGAATCTGTACGCGTTGGGGGGGGGGGGGAGAGGGGAGGCTCGCGGTTCGTTGGAATCCCTTTGCCTTTGATTCCTTGGGAGCAACTCCGAGCATTGAGCCCAGCACCGACCCATGGGTTCAGCTCCAGGGGATACCTTCTCATCAGGTGAACAATAGAGGCGTCGGTGTTCCAAGGATATGATAGCTGTGCTGCTTGTGTGAGGCTGATTTTTCCCCAACAGCTGGAAGCTTTGGGGTCTCAGCCCAGATAGGCTGCGGGGGTGGTCCGGGGCAGCCCTGAGGTAAGGTTCCACGAGGGTTCCACCAGGGTTCCACCAGGGTTCGACGAGGGTTTTACGAGGCTCTGCGAGGGCTGCGGGGTGGTGCGAGCACTAAAAAGAGCACCGCATGCTGTTGGGGATGTCACCTGAGCTCATTTGTTTGGGGGCAGGGGGGCTGCAAACTTTTTGGGTTTGCTAGCTCACCAGCGCACCCAGGCGTTGGGCACTTTTGGTTGCGCAACATGAGCCAGCGAATTGGCGTCAATCAAACTGGTTTCGAGCCAGCGAATTGGGCGCGGGCAAGTTGGAGGTTGGTGTTGGGTCATTTGCACTTTGCCCTACTCATGTGTGTGTGTGTGTGTGTGCGCGTGTGTGTTTCTGTTTGTTTGATTGTGCAGATGTTTGTATGCGTGTGGATGTGCTTTTAAGAGACGCTGTGGAAGGGCAAAAGTCCTGCACCGCGTTGGGGTGAGTGAAACCTGTGTTTACTGGTGCAAAGCATTGGTAGGTGCGGGATGTTGTCCATCAGGATGACCGATATGAAAAACGGCCATGAGACAAAAACAGAAGAAGATCAATCGCCCACAGCCCAAAGTTTGCATGTGGTCGTTGGAGTTGTTGGCCTCTTGGCAGGGAAGGGGATCCTCTCAGCTTGAAGAGATGGTCTATTTGTTTTTCAGCTTACCCCTCTTTGGTGGTTTCAAAGGGACAGACCAACATTTCCGGGGGTCCCCTAAACGAAAACACTGCCGTGTCTGCGTTTATGGGATCCAATGAGAAATCCTTTCGGGAATTTGAGCACGTCTCTCTCTCTCTCTCTCTTTCTCTCTTTCTCTCTTTCTCTCTGTCTCTCTCTTGGTAAACGAAAAGTAAGCCCCCCTTTCTGTATGCCCCACCCTTCGAACTCCCACCAGGGAGTTCCAAGATCAGTTACGCCCTTCAAGGTGGCTCCAAACCTCAACGAGGGCGCAGCATTCGGTGTGTCCTTTGGCACCTTTATGGGGCGGGGAACGTATGCGTCCATATGTTAACTCATCAGAATCCATTTGCAAAGGGGGGCAGATTTCCATACTTAAGCTGATGAACCCATAAGGGTTCATACCAGGTACTGTGGATGGTTGCCAAATCCCTTCGCACCACGAAATGAAACCAAGGTTGAAGCCATAACGTTTGTAAGCATTTACGGGCCAATCATCATTCGAGGGTTTCTTAGGTGGTGCGAAATGGATTTTGTCCATCCTGTTGATAACTGGATAGAGGAATTACCAAGTAAGCCCCAGTCAACCTTCAGTTTACCACTGTTTGCCCACCTCATTTGTTCATGTCCTAGAAGTGTTACTCACTTGCCCAAAGCGAATCGACCTTTAAACCTTTGGGTTTCCCCTTGTTGGTCCTTTTGTAGCAATTAAAGGTCCCAAAGCTTAACCTTTTTTGTTGTCTAGGTGCTTTGGGCAAGTGAGGTTAGCAAGCTTTTGAACGCTATCCCCAAGAAAGGACGTAAGTCTCGAGCTTTCAAAGCCTCTCTTAGGGCCGCCGCCGCTGCTAAATGCGGAGGAGAGCAACGAGAGGCCGGCTGACAGGTGGAAGTCTTCCTGGTTCTCAGGGAATGAAGGGATGACCCCTGTGAACATTGCCAGGCTTAGCTGACCCTTTTAACTGGTTGCCCTTTAAGGTTTCCTTCATTGTTCCTTTCAACCAGCAAAGAGCGCTAAAAGGATTTAACTTTGTGCTGGGGGTCTTAAACTGTTCAAGTGAAGAATGTTCTTTTTGTTTCCCCTAGAGATTCCTAGGATCCCCACCCACTGAATTAATCCTGTGTTTCCCTGGGCCCTTGAAATTCCCCTGAAACACCTACTAGAAGCCTACTTGAGTCGAAGGCCATGGCTGCGGTTCGGGTCCATCGACAGCAAGTTTGATTCGTCGAAATCAAGTGGCTGACGGTCATGTGCGATAAGAAATCCCTTTTCACTGTCGAGAGTCTCGCAATTTCCACCTACGGTGGACGCCCGTGGAAGCTGGTAGAAAGCCCACGCCCAAGAAAAGTTCTTAACACACTGAACGCCCGTAGCTGGTTTCAATTCCTTCATCCACCAGTTTCTCGCAGTTGGGGGTGGGGGGGAGATGTTGTGGAGGGATTCGAAGGGAAGCCAAGATATGCGTCCTGTATGCTGGAGACGGAAGGTTGAATCTTCACTTCGGATTTATCCGGAGGACCCTACACATCAGAGGAAGCCCAAGCGGGGGAACGACCCCCTGCCAGACAAATCCGAAGTTCACAACAGTTTCGTCCTTTTGCTGTTGCCCTTTTGTCTAATCCGGACAGCTTGGTCTTAGTATTTTACCAATTCGAGTCCATTTTTTTGAACTGTTCGCGTGGACACGTGCTCTGAATGCTCCTAACATAGCACCTGACGCGGGTGTTTCAAGAGGCAATTGATCTCCAGGTTCCCACCCAAAGGAGCTATGTGAGACGGTTGTATTGCTGGCCCCACTATTCTACCAGTGTCAAATTCCCCCCCCCAGTGGTAGGTTAAAGGCAAACCACCAACCAGTTTCTGACTTTGAAGACCCTCAGAAATGATTTAGACAACGAGCCCAGTATTGCCCAGTTGGGTTTTGGAGGAGACAGGGATGCTTGCTGTCAGCACTGCAGCCAGGAGTCACAAGCCAGAGGAGGAAGAGGAAGAGCAGAAGGAAGAGGAGGAGGAGGAGGAGGAGGAGGAGGCGAGAGCGATCGGCGAACAGCTTGTTCTTGAGAGCGATTGCGTTCGAGTACTCCAACATACCTTTTGAGCATGAGCATCTTCTAGGAAAGGAATCCTCATGGCGGGAGGGTTGGGGTGTTGCTCAAAAGGAAAGTGGAGGGTTCTGGGCGTTCTGAGACGCGGATACGCAATGCCACAGCCACTCGAGTATCCAGCACTGTTCTGGAGCCTGAAGAAGAAGAAGAGTGAGAGAGAGAGAGAGAGAGAGAGAGAGAGAGACATACGAAGCTCGCAGCACGAGGTTTCCGTACGCCATCTGAAAACCGGTCCAAACAAGGCATGTTGCCGGGAAGGCCTGCGACTCTCTGCCAGTTTTAAGCTGAGGTCCTTATCGAGAAACCTTGGGGCTTTTGGTCTGGAGGCCACCTGATGGGGCGCCACCTGAGTGTCTCTTTTTGAGGGTACCCTTTTGGGTCCGGTTTGAAGGGAACCAAACGGAAGCCAAGCATTTATGCTCAAATCTGGAGACAAACTTTCCTGGTGGCCTGGGACCTGGACCCGAACACATTTTTTCAGGGCGAGCCGCACAATTCCACGGACGGCGTGGTTTCACCGGCGCTGGACGAGCAACCGGCGCACCCCGTGGGCACGAGGCGGAGACGGTGGATTGGTGGATATGATCACACTTCTTGAATTCATGGACTTTGTACTGTTTGAGAAGGGCCATTTTGGTGGGAAACTAAAAGTTCAGACTTTTTTTGGCCATTCCACTCAGGAAGTGAGTGATTGGAGACCCCGTTGGCTTTATTTACATTTGCTTTACCGGGGTTCATTGATTTCCCTTTTGGTTTACCTTTACTCACTTCCCCAAAGCCGAGCTTTTGGTCATGTTTTCACCGTTCCAACCGGACGAGCCTTTTGGGGAAGTGAGTTTGTGACGGATGAAAATTGATGGTTATGGGGTCAGTTGGGTTTGTCTCTCCACGCGGTTTGGAACCTTGTTTGATTGTGGAAAAGCTTGCGTGGGGGATTTCACTTTCACGTGAGGGGTCCAGCGAGTGCTGCTATGTTCTATGATGTTCAGGAAATCCAATGCAAAGTGACTGGTTTATCGAAAGGCTTCAGCAGCCCGGACGCATGCTCTACAAACGCGTGAGAAAACGTCAGGTTTTTGGGAGCTGGGGGTCCATAAATGTAAAGTTATGTATCAATACAATGTGTTTGTTGTTGTTGTGTTTTTCCGGTAGATTTTAGTGGCATAGATTACATATGTAGTTCTCGTATGGCTGTTATTGTTTGTATTTCATGTGTTAATTTAGGATTGGTTTGCCGGGATTATGTTAATGGATACATTAAACATTGTGTAACACTAGTACCATAGAAAAAATACATATTTGAAGTTTACGTCTAACTTCATATATTGAATTAGGTCTTAATACATTGCGTGTTTGATTGTTGAATCCAGTTTTATTTTGTGATAATGCATTAGAGTCTAATATAGTTATTGTTTTATCATTTAAAGGACATTGATGGTAATTGTTTAAGTATAAATTGTATTTATGATTCAACTACAAAACATGATATTAAAGGTGTAAACATGGACATTTACCATGGGGTTTGCAAAATCATAATCATATTCAACAATTTGTGGTTTGATAGTTTTCATAATGTGGTACTATGTCAGATATAGGTATCCATTTATGTATATATACATAGTATTAATATAAACGAATATGTGTATTATTATTTCATAATGTTCTGATTTATTATTACAATGATTTATGAACAACAAATGATAAATAGTATATATATATATATGTATATACTTGAATAGATATATAATATAATATAATACTATTAAATATAGTCTAACTGAATGTAATAAATTGATAAAACATTTTAAAAAAAATGGTTTATTTTAACATTTGATATATCACTAAATTTAAATTCAATATGGTTGCAACTGTTGGACAAATTATGAAAGGTATTTCCCCAATTGGATTTTGGATTGACTTGTGTAATATTATTATTATTATTCGTATTTGATTCCTTGTTATCATATTTCCAAATCCAAATATTTGGATTTCCATCTTTAAATGATGCTTGTGTTTACCAAAATTTCATCTTTATGTCCTGCTGTTTCTGGTGTTTGTCCTAATATTTAGTATATAGTATCACCACTTTATTTTCCATTTAACTGCGTTTGCTTATTTTGTTTTTATTTACCAGAAGGAAGAATAGGTAAATGTGTTCAAGTTTTAGCTTTAACTCTTTGTCTTATTTCTTCAGCAAAACTTCATCCTCTTTGACGTGGTATAATGCATGTTGTAAATATAGAGTCATTTCAACAAACAATAAACCAATGAAACAACCAATAATACTTTTTAATATAACTCATAGGGCCGAAAAAGATGACAGGTCTTTTTCGGGTGTGGGGGGGGGTTATTCATCAGGTGTTAACATTAAAGTGACAACGTAGTCTTAGGGGATTTGCCACTAGACGGTCTCCGGAAAGCATCTGATGGTTTGTGCAATTGTTAGACCCGCTGCGAATTCGCTCGAGTCTGCAGTTTCACGAAAAGTCCGGGGACCATCTTTGCGCAAGAAAACGGAAGTGAGTTTCCAGAAAGCTCCCGTGTTCTCCCTGGTTTCTCTGGGAGGTTTTCCTGTGGCAATATTTTCCCCGTGGCCTTTCTGTGGTTTTCTTTTGGCTTTGCTGCGGGTTTTCGCGGGTTTTCCGTTGTTTTCCCGCGGCTTCCCTTCGAAAGCCGGCCCGCGCGAGAGAGCGGGGCCGCGCCTCCCACGCCGCGCCAGGTGCGGCGCGGAGTTTCTGCAGGCGCCCTGCGACCTCTTCAGCCCCGCGACTTCGAACTCAAAACGTCTCGCAACGAAAAAGGCGGGGGGAACGGCCCAAAGAGGAGCCCGTTATGTGGGATTCCATGGGCAGATCTATCGGTTCCTTTGCCGGAAGTTGGGTTGGGCTCATCCATTTGCTAGGGATCTTTAATAAACATCATGGGGTTGTGACCATGACATATATGTTTCTTTGTTTTTTTAGAGCCTGTTTCCGTGGCTTTCCTCAAAAAATGAAAAGGCGGCAACCCATTTGGGGGGTCCCGATTCCTTGGAGAACCACCTTGCTAGCTCCAGGCGTTCCTTTTCATGTTCCTTTCTGGGGGACTCAAGCAAGTGTTTGGGTGCCAGCTTGGGGAGACACACTCATGTTTGTTGGGTGTGCTTCTTGATCTGGAAGGCCCCAAACTCGAACCATGTTGCAACTTCCCAACACGTGATCCGGAGTCCCTCCTTGGGTTGCGCCCCATGAGTCGACCTTTTTTTTAGAAATGTTGGGTTCCCGTTGCTGAAGTCAGGTTTCATCGACTTCGACCTCGCGAAGTGGAAAGATAGGCTTGGGCCACATGCGTATGGGCATGTATTCTAGTGGAAGGAAGGGCCATAAGAAACGTTCAATATTGACTAGGTCCCCCAGTAGTGCCCTTTTACCAACCTTTTTGGGGGAGGGTTCCTCTACTAAAATAGGCTACAGAGAAAAGGGTACCCTTATTCTAACCTGTCTACTGGAGGACCTAGTTGACCATCATCTGCTGTAGGGAAGGGATGACATGGGTCACACTGCCAGCATAGAAAAATCGGGGATTGCGCGCCAAAATCCCATGTCTCTTGGGACACAATGATCATTGACCGTGACTCACATGAGAGGCGGGCAAAATATCCAGCAGTTTCAATTTGACACGAGCATGGGGGACGCACACCAATGTCCAACAAAACTGATCTCTAGTAGTCCATTGTCTCCAATGTCCATTGTGAAAAGGCATAGTTTGACTCTGGCGTTGTTCACTTAGTGTGTCACACGTGTTTGTCAGCGTATTGTTGGCATGTTTATGGCTCTGCGTTTTTGTTTGAGGTCTGAACGGGTATTTTGCTGACATAAGAGGCTTCGAGAGGGCTGTCTCACTTGACCCCGGGATCCTTTTAGTGGCATGTTGATCCTTAGATGGCCAAAATGGCTTAACGATGTTCCTTCTAGCTTCTCAAAAGACTGCGCGTTTATCAAAGTCAGGGTTGTTGGTTCTCATGTTCAGGATTGGCTCGGCAAAAGGCTCACGAGCGCCAGAGGGTCGTTCGGCCAGGGTGGAAATTGTGCCTAGGAAAAGCCATTTCTTAGTGAGCTGTGGTCATTATATTGACGGGTTCGAGAGGTGATCAAAGTCAGAAACTGGTTGGTGGTGTCCCTTTAGCTCAGGGGGCCACTTTGATAGTGATAAAATCATGGGGCCCGCAGAAGAAAAAAACATTCTTGCGGATCCACCATGCCTTTGACGTCGTTTCGCGAAACTCGATCAATAAAAGGCGAGCATATCAAAAGTCAAGATTTGGTTGAACAAATAGGGATGCTCAACAGGGGCTGCCTTTGGACATCTGACACAGTCGGTTCTGTGGAAAATGAAGGGAGCCCCTCGAGCAAGGGCTTCAAGTCATGAAGAAAACAGGCCCAAGTGGTCGCGCGTCTTTCTTGAGGCTTGGTATTCGACGGAGGGGCCCTCGAAATTTTGGGGCCAAATCCTTGACAGACGCTTTGGTTGAAAAGGCAACTGGCTGAGTGGCGGTCGGATCTCCTTTTCGCGGACATGCCCAACTTGGGGCAACGTCGCCATCAGATCGGATCTCCGACCATCAACGGGTTCACAGCGGACGTGTCCCGAACCTTGCAGGCCCAAACCAAGCCTGGCGAGGCTTTTCTCACCCTGGGCAACACTACACTGAAGCCAGCAGAAAAAGTTGGACCATGTTCAGGGCATGTTGCTCACTTAGCTTCAGGGGCCTTTTGTATATAGCTCTTTTTAAAGGTGCACATGTGCAACATTATACTGTCAATGGATCGAACCCCCCCGCGCCAATAACAAGTATGATGTTAATCTTTTGAATACAATTCCCACACAGAAGGATATGGGCTTTGTTGGGGGGGAACCTCCAAGATGGCTTCGGTTTTCCTGTTGGTCCCCCTTTAAAGCCCAGCCCAAGCGGGTGTCCGGAGTCCAAACGGGCGTCTTCCAAAAAAAAAGCCACGCCCCAGCTGCACCCGCTGGCTTCGACCGACCGCCTGGCGGGGTTCCGTACGAACAGATCCGAGTCGCGAGGAGCGTGTCGCCGCAGTGGGTGGACCTCCAGGGCTCCCTGGACCCCAGGGAACTGGATCGCAAGGACGCCAAACTGGATCGGAGCGCACGGGGGGAAGTTTGCCCACGAGACGGGCGAGGGGAAAAACGCCCGCGAGGTGGGAAGTGGGTCAACTTTTAGGCGCTGCCAGCCAAAAAGGCGTGCCGAAAAAGAAAAGAATGGCACGCGGACTTGGAGAGACTCCCATGCGCAGGGCGATGGGCTAAAGCGCACAAGGCTCAGGCTGCCACATTTGGGTGATCTTTCAGCCCAGCTTCCGTGACACGGTCCGCCAAAAATTGGGTGCCAAAAAGCCGGAAGAGGGGCTGGCAAGCGGCAATATGCAAGGAGGGAATTGCTTGCGATTTTGTTTCAGGCTCTGTTTTAGGACCCCTTTCAGCAAAAAGAAGTTTAGTGCCCCAAAACCCGAGTGACCTTTTTTGAGCTCTGACCCATTTTCTCCCAACCCCCACTCCGCCACGCTCCCCGACCGGGGTTTTTTGAAGGAGGCGCTGGTAGGCAGCTTCGGGGGCCAAGTCTTCTTGGCCTACTCCCCCCTGGTGAAGCTGGACATTGGCGCCTCGGAAGGGTGTTGGTTTTTTTGCCCTAATAGCTGAAAGCTTTTTGGTCTCCGCCCAGATAGGCTCCGGGGTGGTGCGAGCACTAAAAAGACCATCGCATGCTGTTGGGGATATCAGTTCATTTTTCTTGGCGCTTTCTTTGGTAGGGAATCGTAGGTGTCCGGTTTGGTGGATTTGGTGGAAAAATAAAGGGCGGTTCCTGTTTGGAGCAGCTTTTGAAAATTTCAACAAAAGGAGGCTATCAAAGTGATTGTCGTAGGTCGCTTCCCAGTCTTTTGTACAATCTGCACACTTGGGTGAAAGTCCACACAGCTCCCTTAAATGTTGGTAAGTAAAGGGGATGAAGTTGCATGTGTGACCGCTTGCATTTGTTTATGTGCGTTTGTTGAACACGCCAAATAGGTTGCTTCCTTTCGCTTCAACAACCACCCAATCAGGGGGACCCTAAAAAGGACGAGTCAACAACCAACCAGCCAACCAGGGATTCCCTAAAGGAAGACGAGCCACCCATCTCTGTCCATTTTGGGGCGGATGAACACCCATGTACCACCTATTTTGATGTTTTCACCAGGGGTAGCATTGGTTTTGACCACCGCCATATGTTTTCCCTATTCATGCCCCCTCCCAAGGACTTCACCCAAGGAAACCCCAGGAAGGTTTTCCCCCCCCCCCCCCTCTCCGTTTTTTTGTTGTTGTTTTTTTTGGGGGGGGGGTCTGTTTTTTTTTGGCATCGACCGCCGGCGGCGGTCTGCGCCCATCGGAAGCCCACTGGGCCGTCGGTGCGAGGCCCGGTGCAGGAGGCCTTGCAGCAGCTCCAGAAGGTGGCGGCGCAGGCGACGTGGGAGCGCATCTCTTTCGGACGCGCGGAGGGGCGCGGGGGCGGTTTTCTTTCTGTGTGGTACGGGAATGCACAGGAGGAAAAGAATGGGGAGGTCCCCCCATGTTTCCGAGAAAAGCGCCTTGCTGTTCTTTCCTTTTTTTTTCTGGGGGGAGGGGGGATGTTATTTTGAGGGTACCCTCTTTGGGGCGGTTTTCGAATCCAATTCGATAACCACCAAGTTTGTAGGTCCATGTTCCCAGCAGTCTCCCGAACCTGAACCAAGTTCAGCAGATTTGGGGGCCTGGGTTCCGAAGGCGTTGAGGGAGCGACCCTTCCCCTTTCTTCTCAATCGTGGAGATCTTACTGTCCGCTACCAACCCAGGTGTCGTTTTGGTTTTCCATGAAAGTGAAGAATTTGAGGGTGTGCGAAATGACCTTTTGGGGGGGGGGGTTCGCTTTAAGCCACCATTTAGCTCCCAGGCTGAACGTTTCTGGTGGCGGTTTCCCTTTAAACCACCATCTCGCGGATGGGGAGTGTTCCTCTTTGAACGAGCATTGAATTGGGTATGGGTCAAGATTAAACCACCAGGAGTTGCGGAATCGGACCGCAGACTTTAGGCGGAGCTCGACACCGAGTTTGTGGTGCACACCTCCGATATCCCGGTGGTGGCCAGGCATCGACGATGCTCGGCGCGCTTTTCGCCCGTGTTGCGTACATTTTTGACTTGGAAGAATGAATGTGGTCTGTGGTAGCCGCTAGGGAATACAACAGGACGCCAATTGGGACAAGACGGGACAAAACCGTGGCTAAGTGTTCGACCTTTCTATGATCTTGGTGGCTCCCAGTCATCCGGTTCAAACAGCTTTTTAGATCCTCGTTTTAGTGGCGGTTTCCGAATTTCAACCGCTTCACCCGCTCAAAGTTCGAGAACTTTTCGCGGGGGGATCCGAAAACGGGCAGCTCCACCTTTCATTTCCAGCAGCCAACTCCACCTTTTGCAATGGAACCTGTGGATCTAACAAACGAAAGGATGCAGAGGTCTGGGTTGCCCAAGTTTAAATGTAACGGGGAGGTAGGATTGACTCAGATATGTCTATGCTTTAATGAATCCCCCCGAAGGTTGTTATCTACCCTAGGATGTCTTAGCTTCATACTTTAATTCTCATACACCCCAACAGCATACCTCAACAACACCATACGATACCATTAATTTACTCACTGGGTCCTGATTATGATTATTCTCGACAACCACAGGGAGGCCCATAGAAAACACAGCTGAGTCCCCCAGTAGTGCCCTTTCTCACCTTTTTTTTTGGGGAGGGGTTCCCCTACTAAAATAGACTACCGAGAAAGAACAAAAACAGTTGGCACCCTTAATCTAACCTCGCAAAACTGGAGAGGCCCTAGACAGACATTGGTTCCTTCTCCCCCAAAAAGACAAGCGAACTCGCTGCCCCGAGGCGACGTCCGCGGCTGCGAGGGCAAGCGGATCATCTTCTCCACCAGCAGCGGGCCCCGGTTCTGCGACCTGGCGCTGGGGCCGGGGGTGCGGCCGCCCATCAGGCGGCGGCGGTTTTGGCCGTCGGCGGTTTTGGGGTGGGGGTTGAAGGGCCCGTGTCTCTCTGTGTGTGTGTGTGTGTCTTGATGGCTATTTGGTAACCTAGGTCCCCCAGCGAGGTGCCCTTTGGTTGAATCAGGTCGGATTTTCCGGAGGGGACCCACGGAAATTTAAAAACCTTGTGGCAGAGGGGTCAACAGCAACCAAGGTGTGTGCGTGTGTAGCTGTCAACGGTGGCTAACTCGTTGAATTCCACTGTCCCCGCCAATGGCCATCCTTCCCGAGTGTTTTACTGGTCATTCACTGTCATAGTATTGTTTGCAGGTAGATTGCGGTTTGATGGTTTCAGGTTATCTTCAGATGTCATGCTTTCCACATTACAGTTGGTCTTGTTTAAGTCCGTTGTCAGTGTCTTGTCGGATTGTGTGGGTGCGGGTGTGTTTATTGTTCCATGCTTGTGCCAGATTTGGTTTTAGGCCATTTTCTGCGATTCATTGGGATGGGAATCAGCCGCCGAGTGGTCGGACAGAAAGAAAGGGCGGCTCTGTTTCACATGGTACCATTTTGGGTAGGTGCACCACCCATTTTAGAACCTATTTTAGTGGTCGGATTGGGATGTTCACTGGGGGGTAACCGGGATTTTGACCCATGGCCGTATGGCCTTGTCTCCACAGAATCTCTGGGTCCCCTGCCGTTTCCCTTTTTGGGCCCGGCTCTTATCGGCCAGTATGCGCCGGGCCGACCGGGACGTGGCCTATGAGGACAAGCCACTCGGGCTGCGATATCCCCTGCCCTGCAAATTAATCAGGGAAACCAACTAGCAGGGATACAGGGGGAACCAGTTGGATACGGTTGAGGATTCCCCCTAAATGCACCTTGCCTAAGTTTGAGATGGGAAATGGCACCAAGGGAATCCCCCCATATCCCCGCTCCCTCCGTACCCCCGCTTGTTCGTTTGTCCAAATTAAGACAGACCCCAAAGAACGACCATTTTGAACGGCACCTGGAGCCTGGGGAACCCCCTTTGCAGGTCCCATGGAACTTTGCACGGGCTCGGCTCGGCATCGCATATGCGGAAACTTACCTGCTGGCAATTTAAACGTTTTGTATGGTAGGCGTCTTCAGAAACAGGTCCGAAGAAGGGTTTCCTTTGGCTCAAAGCCGCATGGCTTGAAACGGCCCAACTTTGGCGAGCTTCAGCAACTTTGGGTTTGGGATGCCACAGCTGCAATTGTTGCAATCTACACACACGTAAGGCACGACCACGAGTGAATCCCTGAAAGCATGAGCCTGTCCAAAGTAACAGAAGCACAGAGCGAACTTCCCGAACCTTTGCAGGTTGTTTGAAGGAAAACTCAGGCTTGTGTCGAGTAGGTGCATGGGATTGACAAGATAGCAACCCTCAAAATGATGACTCGGTTTCAAAAGCAACCCCATATGCCACATCTTCACGTCTCCCAAAACAGCGCTGAAACCGATGTTGGACTGCACAGTCGCCCGGTCCCCGAGCCGAATGTCAGGTGCGTACTTTGACGGTCTGGGAATTAGTGAGTAAATATGAATAATGTGTGATACTGTAGTAAAAGAAGTCCTTCGTGGGTTTAACAGTTGTGCAATAAAACTTGGTGAACGATTAAAATGGTGGAATTCTACAGCTAAAATTGGGAGTTGTTGCTGTGTGCCCCTTCGAGCTTGGCGTGCGTTGCACGCAACGAGACCGTCGGTGTTGCGAGCCTGAGCTCGGCCACAGTAGAACACGCAGCCAGTCAACTTTTAGTCACCCCCCCCCCGGCTCTAAAGCAAAAACTACCCAACACAAGAACTTTTACCATATATCATATTACCACGTAAGCCAGCACAAAACATTTGTCGGAAACCGAACAAATGAAAAAGGCGAAAAGAAGATGAGAAAGGAACTGATGCTGCACAGAGACGGAGCTGCACGACGTGTTGTTTGTTTAGTTGCAAGCAGGGATAGGAAGGAGACAAGTGCTGTTCAGTTGTGAACAAGGACAAATGCCGCGTTTTTGTTGAAAAATATGTGTGCACATACATAAATATACTATGTATATACATATATACATAGTACATACTTACATACATATATACATACATGATATATACTTTCATTTCATTACATTACATTTTACATTTACATTTACATTACATTACAGTACATTACATACAAATATATATATATAATCCCCTTGTAGGGTGTGTCCTTTCCTTGGTGGATTCTCGCTGAAATCGAGGCTGAACCTCGGCTTTTGGCGGGGCACTGTGGGCCCTGCTGCGCGCTGCGGGCATTGGAAGAAGTCACCCCGGGTGCGCATGGTGCAGGCGAGAGTGCGGCAAAAACAAAAAAAGACAAGGTTCGCGTCCGCCCATCCATCCGCACGCACGGGTGTTGGAGGTGAGTTTTGGAGACGAATGGAGGTTGGAGAAAAACCACAAGGCTCACTCCCTGAGTTTCCCGCATCCGGACCCATCCGCAGGTTTTAGTCTGTTTCCAATTTTAGGTCCCTATTTTGAGCCACAACCATGAAACGAGAGGTCGGGATCAGAAGCCCCGCAGTTTGGGTAGCATCAACCTCCAACCTCGACACAGCCCGCTTCCCATCCGTCCACACGAATGCGTGTTGCAGCGCCAATGTGGCTAGGTAAGGCAGACCATACCACCGACAAAAGGGAGTGTCTTGGGTTGAGGGTGCCGTACCATCTGAGTTCCGTTTCGGACTGTAAACTTTTTGGGAAGACCGCTTTAGTGCTGAACAACAAGCTTAGGCTTTCTTTTTGCCAATCCATTCAGGAAATGAGAAGGGCCCCCCTTGCTGCCTTTTCGGGTTGGCACACAGACCACACCCCGATTTGGTGCGAAACCCAGCATGTTTACAGAGTGAGCTGAGTAAAAACATGCACGAATCAGTTGCTGACTCTGAATCACAGTAATTTGGGAAACAGCGCGGACTGGTGAGATTTCTTCAAAAGCAGACGTCGAATTGGGACAAGATCGCATATTGGACATGATTTGGAGGAAGTCACTCCTTCAGGTCTGGTGCAGTTTCGACTGTTTCGGGAGCGGGGAGGACTATTTTGAAAGGGAGATAGCCAAAGTGGGCGCGTTCAGACTAATGGCTGTTTGGTTGGATCTTTGGACCTTAACTTTTCAGGACACAGAGGATCCCACAAAAAGGTAAACTTTTTGCAAAGGGGTCGGAGTACATTTGTTTGTGTTGAAAGGAAAGCAACAGGAGATTGCTGTTGGCTCGGGGCGTTCCAAACCAGTCAGGACAGTGCAGGGTTGAAGCAACGGAATCAAGCAGCGTCCGAGGTGTTGTTCAAGAACCACTGCAGCCAAGGTGGTCATGGTTGAACTGAAACAAACGACAAAGAACACTCTGTTTCACAAATAGTTTGTTCAAAGGGACAGCAAGAGGAATTGCCATTTCGCACGGTGATAAAATAAGTGCGCTTGAACTTGCCGAAAAGGAAGCCCACCGGAGATGTTTGTGTTTTGTTTTTGTTTGCTCCGAACCGAGCCGTTCCCATCCAGCTCGGTGGTTCAACAGATGAGGTTAGGCCAAATGATCAACTGGCTGTGAGTCAGAATTAAACCACCAGGAATCGGACCGCAGGTTTGATCGTCCATGTTTCCATTTACTAGGGTTCCATTTTGGGTACCTATTTTTGACCCGCAGCCAAATGTTGTTTGGTCTACCGTCCATCCAGGGTCGGAACGCTCACTCACTCACCATTTCTTGATTATTGATGCTTGATTGAGTGGCCCGCACACCTACCTCACGAGAGGTCAAGTGAAGGGGCGCAGCGGGTTGTGCGAACGTTGGGGGCGAAGCCCATATTTGTTCTTCGTCCTCTACTGTTTTCACGGCCTCACCCATGATGATGGTTTTCTTGTTTGAGGTGTTGAAACTATGTTCAGATGTTCATTTACCACACTAAATGTTCAACTTGCGGCATTTGGTTGTGCTTCTTTTATCAAGGTACCCTTTTGCGCTTGTAGGAGAAGCTTGGACAACTTCCCAGTTTCGCTTCAGATCCCCTTTCAGATGCACCCAAGCTGATGCTCCCGCCGGTTGGCTCCCAGACCCCAGGAGAGTCAGAGACATCCCAGCGTGCTCAACGCCTCCCTAGGCGCGGCGAGGGCTGTGGACTGCCTAGATCCCCGTCGATCGGGATCCGTCTTTAGATCCATCAGGTTCAAAAGGTAACCCTACGGGTCTACCCGGAAATCCTGGTGCGGGGCAACGGACTGCAGAATGGTCCACTCCCCCTATGAAACATGCACCCTAGGAGAAGCATTCTTTTCCAGAGCCTTACCCCAATACTAAGTTAGAACCAGGTAATGCTAAACCAACATAAACCAGCATTTTGCCTGCCAACTCTAACTTGTTGGACAACGACCGTCGCTTGACTAGCAGACAGTCTAACTTCTTGTGAGTCAAAGCCTAACTCAGCTGTCAAGAACTTATTTGGGTGTGGCTAAAAAACCTAAGAGCCAGGGCACCAAAGGCTTTGCCAATTTTGGGCCCATTTTTTGAGCCGCAACCATGAGGAAACGAGGGGGAGGTCGGGATCAGAAGCCCCGCAGTTTGGGTAGCATCAACCTCCAACCTCGTAGCCCGCTTCCCATCCGTCCGCACGAATGATTCCGTGCAGCGCCAATGTGGCTTTGTAAGGCAGACCGTACCACCAACAAATGGGAGTGTCTTGGGTTGAGGGTGCCGTACCTCACTAGCTGTGTTCCGTTTCGGACTGTAAACAACAATCCACTGAGGAAGTGAGTACCCTTGTTTATGGTTTTAAAGGGCAGCCAAAATCACCATCACAATTTTTGGAGAAACAGACACCCAAGTAGGATCCTCCCAAACTGCTGGCAGTTACCTCGAATTCTTTTTATGCGTCCACTTGTTTTGACCCGTGTCCATTTGTGGGCCCCCTTGGTGACTGATCACCCGCGGCAAGCCAAAAGCGAGTGCTCCAATGGCACCCAAACCAACAAACCATAGTTAGTTTCGGGAGAACATAGGGATCACCCAAGTTGTTCACAGGGAATAGCCTCCAAATTTCCCAAGTCCTCCATAAGCTGCACGCATAGCTCTTGAGTCGAGGCAAATTGGATTGCTCGCGCCCCCGCGACTTGTGCGACCTGGTGAAGAAGTGGAAGCCGAACCGCGTGCCGAACGACCATCAGCTGCCCGCCAGTTCAAGCTAAGCCAAGCGGCTCATAAGGTTCGGACGCGGCTGAGCGAGA